TTTCATTTCTGAAGAAGGGTCTAGGCCTGAAACGTCAGCTTTCCTGCTCCTCTGATGCTGCTTGGCCTGCTGTGTTCATCCAGCTCTCCACCTTGTCTCGGATTCTCCAGCATCTGCAGTTCCTACTACCTCGAAACATGTAACTGTTTTCTCTCCCTACGAATACTGTTAGACCTGCTGAATTTCTCCAGCAATTTCTGGTTCACACTCCCGTTCTTTGTTCAGCATTTGTTTATTCGTTCAAGGTTGCTGCTGCCACCAAGGTATAATTTATTGTCCAATTCAAGCTGTTGCGCTAAAACAGGCAGTAAATCTTGAGCAGATGCAGGGAACTATAACTTAGTAACAATTTCCATGTTTTCAGTAACCCATTGGAAGCCTATTGTAAATATGACATTGAAAAGGGTGCTGCTCCGTAACTATATTATCTGTCATAATGGCCCACTGAGCATAAATATTTCATCCAGTTGAGTATTGCTTCTCAATAAACACGAAACATTTCAGTCATTACGATTCATCAGCAAAAGCGTGGTTAAGTTGCATTATTTTGCACAATCTTGTCACCAAGTACCGAAAACCCCCACACAATGAGAGAGAGAAAGTACGATAAAATGGATCAGAAAATAAGTTCAGTCCGTCTAAAAACATCGCTTGAATGACTAGAAAGATCCGGCCGGCGCAGATATAAGCTTGCTCTCGCTTGAGGAAATTTCAGCACTATCACGAGATGCCCAGCTCATCCATGCTAATCAGACATCCTAGATAAATCTAGTCCCAATTGCCAGCATTTGACCTGTATCTCTCAAACCCTTCCTACCATCCAGATGCTTTTTAAACATTGTAATTATACAAGCCCCCACCACTTCCTCGGGAGGCTCATTGCATTCACACCATTCTGTACATGAAAAAAGTTGCCCCTTACGTCCCTTGTAAATCTTACCTTAAATTATGACCTCTACTTTTAGACTCCTGTACCGTGGGAAAGAGACTATGGCTATTCACCCTATTTATGGCCTTCACGATTATATCAACCTCTACAAAAGGTCACCCCTCAGCCCCAGCCTATTCAGTCTTTCCTTATAGCTCAAACCCTCCAACCCTAGCACCGTCCTCAAATCTTTTCGGAATTCTTTCAAGTTTCACAACATCTTTCCTATAGCCGGGAGAGCAGAATTGAATGTAGTATTCCAAAAGTGGCCTAACCCAATGTCCTGTACAGGCACAGCATGACATCCCAACTCCTACAGTAAATGTATTGAACAATAAAAGCAAGCATACCAAACACCACATTCACTGCCTGGTCTACCTGCAATGCCACCATCAAGGAACTATGAACCTGCACCCCAAGGTCTCTTTGGGAGACAAAGAGGAGATTAGAAGACACAGCAGGCCAGGCAGCATCTAGAGGAAAGCAGTAGTCAGTGTTTTGGGTGTTACCCTTCTTCAGGATAGGAGTTGGGGTAGGGGGAGCTGCAGATAAGCAGGAGTGGAGGCAGAATGGAGGTGGCAGGTATGACCTGGTTGGTGGCTGGAAGGGAGTACATGGGGTTGTAAGGGGAGGCGGGAGATAGTAGGAAGGTTATTTGAAATTGGAGAACTTAAGTGAGTCCTCTGGGCAGTAGGGTACCCACGCGCAAGACAAGATGTTGTTCTTCAAATTTACATTCCAAGTCGCTGCAACACTGGAGGCAGCCGAGGACGGACATGGCGGAGTGGGATGGGGAGTTGAAATGGGCAGTTAGGCTGGCCATTACAGGCCAGGCAGACATGCTCGGCAAAATGGTCACCTGGTCTACATTTGGTCTCACTGCCGAAGAGAAGACCAGAGAGCACCAGATGCAGTAGACTAGGTTGGAGGGGATGCAGGTGTAGCTCTGTCTCACTTGAAGAGGTTGTTTAGGGCCTTGAATGGAGGTGGGTATGTAGGCAGGTGTTGAGTCTTCTACGGTTACAGGGGAAGATACCAGGCAGGTTGGTGTGGTTACTAGGGTGTGTGGCGTGAGCCAAGGAGTGGCAATGGGAATGGTCCTTGCAGAAGGCAGAGAGGGGCAGGGAGTGGAAGATGTCACATCTGCTCTGATTAGATGTTCCACTCCCAAGCATCCCAGATGTCCGCCACATTTTTCAAACAACGCTCTTTTCCCTGCCAGCGTCATCCAGGCATCCCTCCACCATACCTCCTCCACATTCTTAACCATTATATCCCCCCCCCCCCCCCACCCACAAACATAAAGATGGGGTCCCCCTTGTCCTCACTTTCTACTCCACCAGCCTCTGCATTCAACGCATCAACCTCAAAACACTTCTGCCAACTCCAATTAGACCCCACCACCCAGAACATCTTCCACTCCCCTCCCCTCTCTCTGCCTTCTGCAAGCACCATTCCTTTCGCCACTCCTTAGCTTACGCCAACCCTCCCCACCTGGTGCCCTCCCTTGTAAAAGATGCAACACCTGCCCCCCACACATCACCTCCCTCACCCCCATCCAGGGCCCTAAACAGTCTTTCCAAGTGAGGCAGAGCTTCACCTGCATCTCCTCCGACCTAATGCATCCAGTGCTCCTAATGTGGTCATCTCAACGTCAATGAGACCCAACATGGACAAGGTGGCAGTTTTGCCAAGCATCTCCACCTGGCCTGTAACAGCTCACCTGACCTCCCAATCACTGCCCACTTCAACGCCGTCCCACTCCCCTCCATCCTCAGCCTCCTCCAGTGTCGCAGCAACTTGGAACGCAAATTTGAACACCAACTTATCTTCCTCTGGATGTCCTACAGCCTGGAGGACTCAACATTGAGTTCTCCCATTTCAAATAACCTTGCCACCCATCCCCCACCTCCCCTTCCAGCCCCACCACCTCCCTTCCATTCCACATTCTGACCCTCCCTTCCAGCCACTAACCAGATTGATCTCTCCCATCCACCAACCAGGTCAAACCTACCACCAATCACCATTCCACTCCACTCCACCCCTTCCCCCCACCACTATATCTGCAGCTTCCCCCTGCCCCCACATCTAGTCCTGAAGAAGGGTAATACCCAAAACATTGACTGCTCCTTTCCTCCAGATGCTGCCTGGCCTGCCATGTTCTTCCAGCCTCCTGTTTGTCTACCTTGGATTCCAGCATCTCCAGTTTTTTGTTCCCCCCCACCCCACCACCCCAAGGTCTCTTTGTTCAGCAACACTCCCCAGGATCCTACTTCTAAGTGTACAAGTCCTGCCGTGATTTGCCTTATCTAAATTAACTCATCTGTCATTCCATCTGATCAAGGTCTCATTGTACTCAAACCTTCATGGTCCACTACACCAATGTTGATGTTACTTGCAAAATTAACAACCATTCCTCCTATACTCACATCCAAATCATTTGTGTTAAGTGACAAAAAACAGTGGACAGTACCAATCCTTGCAGCCACACTGCTGGTCAAAGGCCTCCAGTCTGAGGAACAACCATCCACCTTTAAACAAAAAAAAAGTGTAAACAGGAAAAAAAAAGGATCTAATCTTGCTAATCAGTCTACCACTTGGAACATTGTTGAACATCTTGCGGAAGTCCGTATAGACAACGTCCATCACTGCCTTCATGAAGTTTCTTTGTCACTTCTTCAAAAAAACTCAATCAAGTTAGTGAGATACGATTTCCCACACAAAACCATGCTGACTATCCCTAACTCAGTCCTTGCCTTTCCAAATACATGTAAATCCGGTCTTGCAGGATTCCCTCCAATAAACTAACCCACAACTGACATCAGGCTCACTAGTCTATAGGTCCCTGGCTTTTCTACACCACCTCTCAAATAGTGGAGCATTAGCCACCCTCTAGACTTCCAGCACCGTATCTGTGGCTAGTGATGATACAGACATCTCAACAATCACATCCTTAGCTTCCCACAAGATTTTGGGATACACCTGATCAGGTCTTGGGGATTTATCTACCTTTGTGTTTTAAGACATCCAGCACAACCTCCTCTATAACATGGACACTAAGATATCATTATTTATTTCTGCAAGTTCTCTAGCTTCTACATTCTCCACAGTAAATACTGACAATATATTCATTTCGTAACTCATTTGTCTCCTGCAATTCCGCACATAGGTGGCCTTGCTGATCTTTAAAGGGGCCCTATTCTCTCCCTAGTTTCTCTGTAAATACTCTTTTACCTGTAGTGTATCTCTTTGGATTCTCCTTAACCCTATTTGCCCAAGCTCTGTTCCCTTTGTGCCTTCGCAATTTCTCTCTTGAAAATACTCTTACTGTCCTTTTACTGAGGAATTCGTTCAATTCCAGCTGTCTATGCCTACCACATGCTCCTCCTTTTTCTTGACCAGAGTCTCAATTTCCCTAGTCATCCAGCATTCTTCACACCTACCAGCTTTTTACTTCAGGTACTGCCTCTAGAATCTCTATCTCATTTTTGAAGGCCTCCCACTTTCCAACCATCTCTTTACCTGCGAATAGTCACAATCAACTTTTGAAAGTCTTTGCCTA